GGAAGGTTACGTTAAAAACCCGACGGCCTTAAAAACGCTGCCGTTCTTTCGCCGCTTAACAGCCTTTATTTTCGTGCTTTGCGGATGTTTGTGCGGTGTGCCCTCCCTCGCAGCCTTACACAGCGGCTCGGCGAAGACAGGGCTTCCCTTCCCCCCCCGGGCAGGGCCGCGTTGCCTCCTGTTTGGGGCAGAGGCGTGCGAGAGGCGGAAAAACCCCTTTCATTTAAAGCCCCGTGGGCCTGGCCTTGTCTCTCCTTGCTTCTGCGTCTTTTTTACCCTGCAGAGGTGCAGCCGCCGAGGGGTGACGGTTACGGGTCAGCTCAGCCGGGCTCGTCCCCATCCGCAGCTTTCCACGCGGCCTCGTCGTCGTCCAGCTCCTCTCGCATCGCCCGACAGGAGGGTCGAGGATAACGTCGAGGTTCTTCGCAACCCGTTTTCTGCCTACGCAAAACACTTTGTGTCTTGGGTTTTCTTTTTTTTTCTCCTCATCTATAGGGCAAAAAACAGTTATTTTCCTATATTTCATTCAATGCTGAGTGAGCCGTCCACGCTGCTAAATGATTCCCCCACACACACACACACTTCCCCCCCCCATCAACTTCTGCGAATTAATTAATTTCGTTGCTAAATTCATACTGGCGAAATATGAGCGCACGGACTGGTGGTAACAAGTTAGTGGATTAAAGTGACTCAGAGGCTTTTAGTTATGTTTATCTTGAGCGCGCATACGTTAAAGTGCTGTTGGTTAAATTGTGCGTAAAATAGTTGACAGGGTCCCTTTTGCATGTTCTTTGAAATCAGGGACCCTCAGAGACCAAGCAGCTTCTTTATTTTGTTCTGTCTTGAGCTTGGACACCGTGGCTGAGTTTCCATTCAGTCTGGTTGCTGTCAGCTGGGGTACATAGCTCGGATCAGATAAAACCTTCTGGAAAGTGCTTTAGAAAAGCTGATCCATCAGTCGTGACTTGGTTATATTAATGTAAAGCCCCAGTCGCTTGGCTATTCCGTAAGCAGATTCGCAGGCCTCGGTTGGCTCTTGGCAGTATAACTAATGTGAGTCCTGGAACTGCAGCCTCCAATTAAACAAATGATATTTCAGCTTTCTAATAACAGACATTCTCACTTTTATACAGTAAAATGAATATGGGAAAATGAATTTTTGGGGAGAACTTTTTAAAATGTCACTCATAGAGTTATTGCACCCACTAGTGGTGAAGATGAAAAGTACGTGAGCTGAAGTAGAGGGGTCCTCCTCTCGTTTTCACCTCTTTTAGGTTTTGGTGGTAATTCAAACCACCGAGGCTCTCTTCACTAATTTTTTGTAATTTTCTTGGCAAACTGTTCTTGACTGTCTCCTGCAGATGAGAACAAGCTGTGCAGAAAGAGCTTCTGTCATGAGATGAAGTCCTAGGATGTATTTGTAATTGATATAGGAAAGTATCAGTATTGTTCTACAAAGCTTTAATAAAGCTCCTCAGGGGATTGTGGGGACAACTCTAATAGTCCATGTTGGAGAAAGATCTACTGATACAGAAAGATCTACTGATACAGATCAATGGAATGAGATTTCTTTGAGAGGAGACTGAAAGAGGAAAACTTATTTAGCCTGGCAAAAAAGGTTAAGAATGATATGTTTTATTGTCTACTCTCTTAATATGTATATATTGTCAGTCAAAAGGCTACAATTCTGTCCAACCAATGTGAACTGGACTGAAAAGCATGCCAGTTTTCATAACAGGATACGTACGAGTTTTACAGCTAGATGTCTAGGGCATTTGGCCTACTTTGACCCTTCCCTCTGGGTGACCAGGAACCTCTTGAAAACAGTATACTGGGCTGCTCTTCTGCATAGATTTGGTGCAAAGTTTGGTCTTGTGTTTTAGAGTCACGGAGAGATGCCGTGACCAATATTCAGCTGCATCTCTTACTTCCCAAGTGAAGAGAATGTCAGACATTGCTAGCTCAAGAACACATGGGTAAAAGCTAATTGTGAACTAACATGGGCTAGAAATTGGAAGATACAAGCAAGCGGTGTTTTGGAACAGCTTTTCCTAAGGCTAGTAGTAAAGTACGTAGGTAGTAAACCTACCTAGTTTTAAGATGGAGCTCCATTGCTTTAGGAAAGGATTACAAAACATAATTCTGAAATAACAGGATTGGATTTAATAAGTCAGGGTTCTTTTTCAGGTTTCATGTTACATAAAGACAACTTGAAGTTTGATCACTCTGAAGTGCTTCATCCAACAAGGCTGTCTTTTGATTTAAGCAAGAGCCTGTCCTGCGTGCATCCTGAAGAACTGGACGTATATGTTACTTCTATTCCTGCTGGTAGTATTTTAACCAGAAATATTTTGTCCTTTTTATTCCTTTAACCTATTTTGTGGAGTTAAAATGTAAATCTTGTACGTAAGAAAACTGATGTAGCTGCACGTTCTTAATGTTTCAGAAATATACGGCGGATGTTATGAGGGAAAGATAAAAAATGAGGTCAAAAGATGAAAGTGCTAAAATCAGGTGTGACAGAGAAAGTGAGCACTCACTTATTATTCCGATACTGTGCATTGCCAGAGACCCCACAGAGCCTTATTAAACTCTAACTGAAGTCATTGAGAAGATTCCTGTTGACTTCATGAAATGTTTATAGCCTTAAATCAACTCTAAAAATGACAAAAACCTCTAAGATCATCTCCTCTCTCTTGGTGTTTAAACTGGCTTGCTTCTGTACACTGACTTTCTCCTTATAATTCACGTTGATTTTCAGCACTTCAGTATTACAACTTAAAGATGAGCTTCCCTGAATAACAGCCTGTGTCCTGAAAGTGCCCGGTAGGTTTGCAGTGAGACAGAGCTCGTTGCTGAGCTCACATATGACATTTCACAGATTCAGCTTGAGATTTTAGTGGTGAATGTCCAAGGCATCATATTGTTCTCCTGCCCAGTGTGCCTTTTGGCTAAGACGGGGTTAGAGAGTGAGTGGAAAATCTTATCTTCGCAGGGATCCTTAGGACTCAACGTTGAGGCATCGAGCCCCAGACTGGAGCCTTGCTCCGGGCATACGTCCCGCTGTCGTTTGCACAGTGTTAGCCGCATCACTTCTAGCAAGAGAGACTGACATGCTTTGATCACGCTAAGGCTACGTGCCACCTCGACTTGCAACATACAGGTGCCTTTTTTGACCTTGTCTCTTGGGGGCAGGATGGGCTTGCTTCCATACGTGTTTGTGATGTGTGTTCAGTGGAGGAGGTGATGGTTCCTTCTCAACAGTGGACAGGTTTTACTCACAAAGTCCTTCTGGCTCAAATTTTTTTCCGCTCTCCCAGCGCTGTGTTTAGTCCCCTTGCGGTAATGCTCAGTTCACAGAGGGCTTCGCTGAGATCAAAATGAAACATTTTGACTAAGAGAGAGCAACTTTGTCCCTGCGTGCCTCTGACCACACCTGACCTTTGAGCAGTTAAGGAGGGTATCTTCAGCTAGCACAGCTACTCCGTAGCTGATATGTAATTGGTAATATTCCTAAGTCAGGTATTTGCCCCAAACTTCCGCTTAGAATCATTTGCTCTGAATGTGAATTGCGCTCGCCATCACATGTCCCTAAGTTTCTTCAGCAAACCTGATTTGTTAATTTAGAATGCAAAATTAACCTTTTAACTTTACTTTGAAAGCAAATGTTGACTTTGTTTCATAGTAGTCTGGACTTTGTACAGGAGGGGGAGAGCCTGACATCCCTGGAAATGGCAGCTGAGACATCCACAGAGGTTCCAAAATCAGCTAGACAATCCGTCATCAAAGAAGAGGTAGAACATGCTTGGTTTTGACACGTTTTATTGTTAAATAACAATTATTTAAGACTGTCCAGAATGTTTGTGAATGCAGAGTAAGGAAATGTTGTAGATGCTGCATGTTTGTAAAACGTATTTGGACGAAACACTTCATGATGATCATACAGTTAAAAAAGGGCCAGATGAAGGATTGGTAATTCTCTCTGTAAAATAATCATACAGGTTATTAATGGGGGGAGAGAATCTGCAGGATTGAATTATTTAAAGCTGCTGCTATGCATCGGTCATTTTACAGCTGTTTCTTGAGTTGTCTGTTCAGGCTCTCTCAGTGTTTGGAAATAAGGCTGCTACCTGCGAGAGACTACAGAACTGGGTGGGTCCTGAAACTGAGCCTACAGTTTCCAGTCTTCTTAGAGGAATTGCAAACAGTTGCCTTAAATGTTTATGCTTGTACCTTTTTTGATGCTTTCTGAAAGGGCTGGAAATTAGAAAATTGCTGTTTACAGATACTGCTAAGGAGGTAGTAAAGGTTTTTCAAAACCGTTGTGCTTACATATTATCTTGACTGAATCAGGAAACACCAGGTCCTAGGGAAGGAATTCTGAGGTTACTTCAGGGGCTTTTTTCACCCTAATTGAAACTGCTAATACTTGTTTCTGTTCTCTTTTAACTGAACGTCTAAAAGTTCAGTTAAAACATTGGTGTTAAATGCAGGTTTGGCAACAGTTTTACAGTGTTCTAACACCGGTCTTACTTCTTTTATTCAGCCTTCCTTCTTCAGTTGAAAACTTTGGACAGAACATGTTTTTGCGGGTTACGTTTTAATTTCATCCTCTTTTTTCTCATAATGCCTTAGTTCCTCTGCTTCAGGATATTGCACTAAAAAGTGGCATTAAAAGGTTGTAACGAGATATCATATTTTTTAAGCAGCGTAGCTTTTTCAGTCATTTTGTGGCCTTGGTTGAGGAGAGTATTTACCATCCCTCTGCCGGTGACCCTTATATTGGAAGCGTGTCTGTACTGCTTCAGTAACCACATGGACCGATATTATAGTATCTTTTTTCATGAAAGCAGTTGCTGATCACGTTTCCCTCTGTCTGCTTCTGGGAACCCATCGTCAGGCTATTGTGAGCAAAAGTAGTGTGTGTGTGTGTGTGTGGTTTTTTTTTTTTGCCCATTTTAGCAATAGGTAAAATAATAAAAACAAACTGTGCATGGCTAGCAGAACACACTCTAGAAAGTATCCTTAGGCCCTAATTAGGAGATTTTGCAAAGCAGAAGTTATGCTTCTGTGCCTGCTTCCAGAGGATTTGGTTGTGCACCCAACAAGGTGAGTGACAATAAAGTTTGCTTTTTCTTCTAGGGAAACCTGGCAGCTTTCAGTTCTCTCACCTTGTAGCAAGGGTTTCACCTTGCTTTAGGGGATTCTGGAACTCTTCCATTATAAATATTTATGCTACGTGGTCTGTAGTACATTAATTATTGGCCCATGATAGTAGAGGCCAAAAGTTGTGCTTAAGAATACCTGACGAAAACAAGACACTTTGTTTGACTTTTTGTTTTATACACATAAAACCCACGTTTTCTCTTTTGTTTTCCTTGTTTTCCTCTTTTTTTTTTTTTTTGGGGGTGGGTAGGTCTGATTTCTTACTGACTTGGAGATTTCTTTTCCCTCTAGGCTTCCAGAGGACAAAGGGATGTGGTTCTCATTTCAGCTGTTTTCCCCTTTGTGCTTAGCAAACAATATGTTGGCAACAGGGGTAATGATCTGCTAGTTCTGTTGAATGCTGCAACAATATGGGGCCTCGATCAGTAATCTAGTCCTTTGTGTTTGCTGCAATGTTTTGAAAAACAATCATTAAATCAAACAGCTGCATTTGGCTGTGTTGTTTGTTCGCTTAACTGTAGTAAGTAGGTTCCTCTCCTTGGCCAACATGGAACATCGTTTTCATCTTTCTCTTTTGGGTTTTCGCGTACTCTAGTTTTGTTATGATTTAGGAGTGAATGCAAAGCTATTTCAAATACACTTGAATCCTTCTAAACAGATTTACTTACCTATAAAGGGATAGTAAACTTCATCTTCTCCTTTCTGGCTATTTCTGTGACCACAAATCCATTAGAAAGCCATTTTAGGAGCGCGTTGCTCTCCACTTCCAACTCCTCTTACGTAGAAATATTATAAAATATCTTTCCATGAATGAAAATACCTTTTTCGGTTTTTCTTCATCTTTTCTTTTTAGTTGGTGAATCTTTCAATGTAAGTTCACAGTCTGTGTGGCTACACTGGTCCCAGCCACGTGAATTGTCCTCGGCCTCTGGACCTTCATTCTTCACTACAGTCCCTGATTTTCCTTCCTCTTTTCCTTCCTTTTATATCCTCCAATATTGTCAGCAGTGTGTTTGTCATTAGACCATAGGAAGCCATTTTGTCACTGTATTGATTAATTATGATTTCTGCAGCCAGCTCTATTGCCAACTCGATGCGTCATTCCAGAGACAAGCCTTTTGTCTGCCTACATCCTTAAGCAAAGTCTGCTTTACTCCTATAGCTTAAAATACAAGTTACACTAAATGAAATAAGCTGCAGGCTAATACCTAGTTTTCTCCCTCTGTAAGGATTTGCATAAAAGCTGGGGAAACACTGCAGGGCAAATAAACTCATTTGGCTCCGAAAAGACGTTTTTATTTTATAACAACAGTAATGCCAAGCTCTCAGAAGGGCAGGTCTCAGCTCTCAAAAGGGTGGGTATGTGTCACTGCTTGCAGTTAAAGGGGACAGCATTGACCCAAGGCCACAGTCTGAGATCACTGCAAAGAAAGTTTCAAAATAATTTAGTTTTTGGTGTTACATGCTTAGCTACTAGGCCGTGCTATCTGATAAGTGGGCACTCGTAATCACAAGCACAGCTGAAGCCTGCACAATCCAGTGCCCCTTTTCCTTTTTCAGCTGAAACTTGACCTTTGCAAAGTCATTCTAAAAAGATGGAGGGCTAGGACTTCTCTGTACATAAAACCCTCTTGACTTCATAACTTGGTTATAAAAGTCATGTTAAAGTTATTGGGATTATTTTCTATTCCTATTCAATAACATGGAGTAAATGCTCTTTCCTAGTGACTGCAGGAATGTTATTACAGGTTTCTGCGGATATTCTGATGCTGAGATTTTTATGTCTTCAAAAGGATAAAAAAAAGTTGTGTTGTCTCTTCCCCCTCGCCCCCCAATCTCTTTGGGATTAATCTTGTAGTTTACTTAACAAACAATTCTCTTTTTTTTTTAGGTAATTGTAGAAAAAAAATGGGTGAAGCTTGAAGAAACAACTTACGTTGATGCCTTTGGTAAAACCAGGTAATTGTTTCTCTGACGTTTCGGATTCCTGTAGCGTGCCACCTTTTATGACCTGGCCCACAGGCTAGAGAATATGAGCCCTGCAAGCCTAGTACTCAACACAAGATTGAGCCATTGTGCAATTCCTTTGTAGTTCATACTGTTCACAGGAAAAGTCTTGCTCTAGCAGACGCGTTAGCATGTGGGATCCAATTTGGCCCCTAAATCCTTCTGAGCACGTTGGCCCTTGGTTTATCTTATACTTCCTGTTCCTTGCAAAGATGCTGTAGACATAAGTTCTAGCTTTGCAATAGACGATGATGACCAGAGAATCCTTTCTTTGGCTTTTCTTGTTCTTCATTAAGGGCTCCTTTTCCCCTCTTGATAGTGCAGGACAAAACTCACAAAATCTGACATGTTCAATATATAACTTGCTTTGTTTTGCAGTTTTCCAGGGTCTCTTTTATAAGACTTGCCTGCTCTGTGATGATCGTTCTTGTCTTTCCCTTATTTTTGGTGATCTTAAACAATCAGTAGTTATCTGTTCTCTCTCTCCCTCCCTTAAGTAAGTAAAACAGAATTATGTTACAGACATTTTGAAGTGCTGATATATGACAGAGGTTGCCTGAGGGCAGCTGCTGTCTTATGGGGCCTCACTGTATGATGGTATATTTTGCTTTTGAATGAGTGTAACAAGGGTAGAAGCAGACTTTTACAAATGAACTGTATATTGATGCTTTTAATGTATCAATTTTGTCTTTTCTCCGTGCTGAGCAGAACTTGGGAAACTGTAAAGCGTGCTCTCAAGAAAAAGGGCATTTCAGCTGATGGTAAGGCAAGGGTGATTTTTTTTTTTGTTGTTGCTGTTCGCATTTTTTTCTTGTGAAAATCCTTCTGATGCTCAAGAGTTGTGTAGAACAGCCATAACGTGGTGCAGACTCAGAGCTTATATTTTAAAAATGAAGGAGAAAGC